ATGTTGCATATGTTGCAATGGCTACACATGTATGTTTCAGGTGTATGTTCCACATGTTTCATCTGTTTTAGATATATGTTACAAATGTCTTAGCTGTTTCAAACGCATGTTTCATCTAAATGTTGGAATGACTATATAAGTATGTTTCAATAGTATACTGCATAGGTTGCAATGGTCGGATGGGATGTTGTACAAGAGATGAGACGTTAGGACGGGGAAGGGGCGCGGCTGAGACAGAGCGCGGCGGAGGATGGGGGCACGGCAGGGATGGTGTCGCGGTGAGGGGAGGAGCGCGGCGGGCTTGATGCCAGGGGCACAACCGGGATGGGGATCGAGTCGTGGATGGTCGGACGTGGTCACTGAAGCGGGATCGGTCGCGGGCAGCCAAATGCGATTCGGTGGCGTGGGATGTGATGCTAGCGCGAGGAGGTGTCTGATACAAAGCGGTTGCAGACCATCGGGGTTGCGTCCGGACACAGACCTAAAGCCGGACGTACAGGCGCTGGCCCTGCTGGTTTTGTTTCAGTGCCGGTCCAGTTTCTCAAGAAAATTCGAGTGGACGCAGTCCTGCACCGGACAAAATTGTATCCTATCCCTCGAGAGCGACGGACGCGGACACATCCCTGCCGTTGGCAGCAGCCCAGCAGCTAATAATTGATAAAATTGCGTGCGGAGTTGACGCTCCGCCGCTACCACTGGTAGGTAACTCTCGTCTCGTCTGCGGTTCTACCACTGCACGCATGCCCTAATAACAAATGCTCTGTTCGCTTGGCTGATAAGCCATGGCTGAAAGTACTGTTGGCTGATTTATTGTGAGAGAAAAATATTATTCATTGACTGAAAAAGTACGACTTATAAGCCAATCGAACCAGCCAAAAGTTCAAATCTGTCTAATTAATCTAATAATAATACGTTTGGCTCGAGGAAGGCCGACGGACACACCTGCACGTAGGCGGCAGCTGGTGATAGACTGATTGCGGTGCGGCCCCACCACGATTCAGCTGATTCTCTTCTCCTCCTTCATGTGGTGCAGACTGCAAACGCATCACGCATGGAAGGAAATTGGATACGGTGCATTATTGGGACTCGCGAGGTCCACGAGCACAAGGCAGGCAGTATCACAGCCCCGGTCAGCGTCATCCTATCCTGGCCATGTGCTCCTGCTCCTCCCGATTGCGTTCCATCGCGTTGCGTTAGGTTCTGGGGTTTCCTCCGTCTCCTTTAAATCAATAAGTTAGATTATATTAAACTATCTTTAGAAAAAATACTACTTCCTCCATCCTAAATTATAAAACATTCATATTTCTAATATACTTTAAGAAATTTTATATAGTTAAAGAAAAGTGTACTGTTGGTGAGGAGATGATCGAATGGCTAAAAAAAATAGAGGTACTAAGGGGGAAAGTACCAAGAGGTACCCAGTATACACTAAACTGGTGGGACCAGTACTTAAAATGTGGGTCCATTATCAGCAATTTTTATTATTTTTAAAGGGTTCATTAGTAAATCATAAATGAAGGCATAATCAGTTGAGTATATCTTATACGTCTTCTCTGTTCCTACCCAACTCATTCTCTCGGACCAACGAACACACACACAGAGTACCTACGAACCACAGGGGGTTTTACGATTACCATGTCACCCTTAAACAAATAAAATTAATTCCTAAAATATTTTTCACACATCGGATGGTCAGAATGAATCGAAGGCTTAGTTTTTTTTTTGAGGGAAGAATTGGAGGCTTAGTTACCAAGGGTACCTAAGAACCATAGTAAAAAGAACTCAACGGATGGTCAGAATAAATCGGAGGCTTAGGTACCCAAAGGTATCTACCAACCACCGTAAAAGAGCTCATCTTTCTAGACATATTGTATATTTAAATACATAATAAAAACTATATATTAAAAAAAACTAAAATAACTTATAATTTAAAATAGAGGTAGTACTTACCTTCTAAACAATGTACTTCTTTATAGAATAATAAAGTTCAATGATACATCGACTATTCTAGCTTCTCGTTGGAAAAAAAATGTAAAAGTCGTCAAAAACGGGCATATCGTTTCTCCCCTTGCAATGATCGAGCTGCAAAAACAAGTAGCCGAGTAGCTTTCTCTCGGCTTATTTCCTCTCGGCCGCGTCGCACACCTTCCTGGCTCCCTTCCATCGAGTCATTTAATAAACAAGAATTATGTGTCTTTCATTTTTTGCACCCATCCCATCCCACTCCCATACTATTATAGAAAGAAAAGAATCTTCTTGCTTTCCATCCTTGGCTGGCGCTTTCTGCTGTTTCTTGTCGCTGTTCCTTGCTCAATTATGCGTTGAAGCTTCAGGCAAAGAAAGAAAGAAAGAAAGAAAGAAAGAAAGAAAGAAAAAAGAAAGAAAAAGAAATGAAACGATGAAACTATGAAAGTCCACTGTACGTGGGTGCGCCCGTGTGACACTTGGCAAATACTCAACAGTCAGCACTCACTGCCCGTTTCGTCATCGGCCGCCGCTTTTCTTGTCGATTTGGACCTGGCCTCAACCGCTGACTTGAAAAAAGGGCGGCATCTTTTTCTGGCATGGATCAGATCACAGATCAGTCGCTACCTTCTACAGTGGTTACGGTAAAAGGCAAATGTTTGCTAGTCCTAGATTAGTAATTTAGTAGTACTGATTATTATAAGAAGTACTCTCTCACTGTGTTCCAAAAAAGAACGCACTTTTCACTCTAGAATCTCCAACGGTCCCCTAATTCCCATCCCAATGAGAAAAGTATGTATTTCGATGGATTTGAGAGCTCCAGCAAATCCCATTCTAGCCCCCAATGAGAAGAAAAAAATTATCAGTCCCTCAAAATCCATCCTCCAACCCCTTAAAGATGAGGGAAACCTCCCTCCCCCCAATACTTGAGATTTTGGCGCGAGCTCCAACTGCCGACGCCAAGGATGAGAAAGGGGACGAGGAGGAGGAGATCCTGGGCGCGGGCGCCATGGCCGGGGACGGGAAAGAAGACCTACAGCTTCTTAGGCGCCATGGTCGGGGACGAACCTTCTTGGACACCATGGCTAGGGACCACGAAGGAGGAGCAGTATGGTAGGAGGAGGTAGGAAGGGAGGGAGTGGCGACGGAGAAATAGGAGCGACAACGACGGTACATGATGTGCCAATGCTGCGCTCGGAGTCGGAGGTTGCGGGAACGAATGGGTGGGGAGAGAGAAATAGAAGAAAGGGTGTGAATGACAACTTGATCCCACATGTCCAATGAGATATTGGGGATGAAATTTTCTCATTCTGTTGGAGATGAGGCCTTTCAAAGCCCTCAAAAAAAGCTTATAGCTCCCCAATAACTAGTTTTAGGGTTGAGATTTTCTCCTAGGGCTGGAGATGCTCTTAGGAGTCAAATAACTTTAATTTAACAAAAATGTATAAAAAAGTACTAACATCTACGTACCTTATAAATATTATTAGATTAATCAAAGAACATATTATTAGATTTGATATAAGTCAAACTAGCTTAACTTCAATCAAGTTTACAATGATTAGTAATATCACATTTATGTTGCCGACTAAGTTTACCTCAAAAATATATTTATAATTAATTTACTGGTGCTAATTTTGTATGACTTATTTTTTATATATATTTGATCAATGTTAAAAACTCTTGACTCATCGAGAAGCCAAAATATATTATGAAACCGAGGGAGTAAGTGTTAGTATTTTTCTGTTAACATTGATTAAATTTTAAATTATCTGAGAATTGTATGTGAACGGTGGGAGTACTTTTTTGGACGAGGAGGAGAGTAGACACGGCCACCAAGCGAGGCACACCGTGTTGACACAGCAGTGACAGGTGGATGGGATAGGATGTGCTGTGAATTGTGTGATCCAGGGGAGGCTTTCCTGGCCTGCCTCCATTTCGGAAAGCTGCTTTCAGAGTCGGCAGACGGCCGTGCTCGCTGCTCTGTTTCAGCTGCGAGAACGAGAATGTGAGATCACATGCCCCTGTCCTTCTCGGCCCTCCGCCCCACGCGGCCAGCCGGCCGGTTCCTGCCTCTATGCTCACACGCCACATGCTTCAATGATCATCTTCTCCTATTGCCCTCCTCCTGTCTGCTACAGTTACACCATGCAATGCAACCCCCTCGTTTTCTTTTCCTGTTTCTTTTGTTATATTATGCAGAAGAAGTTTCTTCTTTGAAAGGTATATGCAGAAAAAGAAGTGGTGTATAGTAGTAGTAACGTGGTTTGGAAAAGATGACGCATGCACCCACCTCAACTTTAAACCGTTCGCTTCGCTAGAAAAGCCGCAACACTGTTTCGGCTAATTTGCTGTGAGAGAAAGATATCGTTCTGACTAAAAAATCAAACTGAAAAAGGCGAATTATAAGAGAAGCGAACAGAGTCTTTATTAACTCTGTGCTTGGGTTGGGAGCCAACAAACCAAACGGAACAAGTTAGGCAGGGGAGTGGCCGACGGAGCACTAGAGAGGCTAGCTAGAGAGTTGTAGCTAGACTGCTCATCCTCATCAGCACCGCACGTGCACATTGCCCATCTCACCATCTTCTTTGTTTGATCCGTCCTCCACTCCACTCATCCCCTCCCAGCTGTGGGGCTGCAGCTCCTCCAAGGCACGGCATTGAGCTCCTTGGTCTCTCCTCCTCGCGGGCGCTTTCCCCTCCCCTTCTCCTCCTCGCGCTTCTATTGTGTTTCTTTATCTTTATTTATATTCTCCCGCACCGATCCCTATTCCCCACCCACTCGCATTGTCTCTCTCTTGCCTGCTGCCGCTGCCATCCATCCACGTTTCTGCGTGTGTGTTCTTGCAATCTTGCTGTAGCTGGCCAAAGGCCGGCGGCCGGCGACTCAATCCGTTCGGCTGACGACACGTACGACATTGCTCGCCTTGCCCTGTCCTGCTCATGCTCATGCGTGTTCTCTCCTGGATGTGGATGACCAGAGGCTAGCAACAGCATAGCAGCAGCAGGCTTCTAATCTTGGTCCCCGCGCGCGCCGCCATGGATCCCGAGTTTGGTGTCGGCACGGCGCCACGAAAGGTCAGTCAGACCCAGCTCCCAATCCTTCCTGCCTTACCTCCAGGCTCCAGCAGCAGGCAGCACCTGAGGGGGTATGCAGTGCTTGCTGCTCAGACAGAGCTCTGAACCCAGCTGCCGCAACCTCGGCGCGTCCTGTGGTTGTTTTGATTGCAGAGGGAGCCGTGGCGGACGACGCTGCTGCTGGCGTACCAGAGCCTCGGCGTGGTGTACGGCGACCTCAGCATCTCGCCGCTGTACGTGTACAAGAGCACCTTCGCCGAGGACATCACGCACTCGGAGGGCAACGAGGAGATCTACGGCGCCCTCTCCTTCGTCTTCTGGACGCTCACCCTCATCCCGCTCCTCAAGTACGTCACCATCGTCCTGCGCGCCGACGACAACGGCGAAGGTACGTACGTGCGTCGGCCACCGCTAGCTGCAGCCTACACCCTGACCCTGCAGTGCAGCACCACCAGCCAGCTCTGTTCTGATCATCTCTTCTCTCTCCGGCATGCCCACAGGAGGCACGTTCGCGCTCTACTCCCTCATCTGCCGCCACGCCAATGTCAGCCTCCTCCCCAACCGACAGGTCGCCGACGAGGAGCTCTCCACCTACAGGCTGGAGCGCCCGCCCGAGGCCGCCGGGAGGTCCGGCATCAAGGCCTGGCTTGAGAAGCACAAGAATCTGCACACCGCGCTGCTCGTCGTGGTCATGATCGGCACATGCATGGTCATCGGCGACGGCGTCCTTACGCCCGCCATCTCTGGTACGTACAGTCGGCGTCGCTCACCTTTAATTCTCTGTCTGTCCACCATGCCTTGCCTGCTGCTTCGTCAGAATTATGCTGACGATGGTTCACTTCAGTTCACTTTCTGATCGACCTCTCTGCCTTTTCTTCTCCCTGCTTCTTCAGTGTTCTCCGCCGTCTCAGGGCTCGAGCTCTCCTTGTCCAAGGATCAGCATGAATGTAAGTTTATTTAAAATCACACAACACAAGCCGTTTTTCTTTAATTTTTACTTGCTTCCTATAGTTTACATACCACCATATCCTAGAACTACCTATTCTTAGGTTTGGTGCCAATATTATGAGTTCATGACTATGTAATCCGATCATCTAGACTTAGCATCTTCTGTCACAATCTGCATCTGAACTTCGCATCCCAGAATTCTTAAGCTGAAGGGCCCTAAACTGAAACAGGGTATGGGCAGGGCTGGTTCTTGCACATGCCATGTGACTCTATCTATCTCTTCACTAATCTCCATCACCTGACTGTTACCTTCACATGCTACCTAGAAGCTGCTAGTCTTAGCTTTCAGAAACATCTTATTTTAACCCTGCCTGTAGGATTTCTCCAATGCTCATCGAAGTTTCTTCCCTCGCAGATGCCGTCATTCCGATAACCTGCGCCATACTAGTATTCCTGTTCGCGCTCCAGCACTACGGCACCCATCGCGTAGGGTTCCTCTTCGCGCCGATCATCCTCGCCTGGCTGCTCTGCATGAGCACGATCGGACTGTACAACATCATCCGCTGGAACCCCCAGGTCTACACGGCACTCAATCCCTCCTACATGATCAGATTCCTCAGGAAGACAAAGAAGTCTGGCTGGATGTCCCTGGGAGGAATTCTGCTGTGCATGACAGGTAAATTTTGCTCTATGATAAATAGACCATTTCGTTCGTCTGCAACTCGCAACAGCTGCAGAAGCAGAGCAGGTGGATGAACTTATCGTGTGTGACATGTCTGCCATTATTCAGGATCTGAAGCGATGTTCGCCGATCTTGGACACTTCTCCTACAGCGCGATCCAGGCAATCCCCTGACCCTGCACTTCTTATACTTGACCTCCTCTATGAATATTTGCATGTTACATTTCATGGTTCATTCTTTGTTAGGCCTTGTTTGGATGCATGTGTATCCACTTCAATCCACATGTGTTGGAGTGGATTAGAATGGACCACTCCAACACATGTGGATTGAGATGAATACATGTGCATCCAAACAAAGCCTTAGTGTGTAAGTAAATCTGAACTCTGAACTGATGAAGTCTGTCCTTTTTTTTCAGCTTGCTTTCACTTCTTTGGTGTACCCTTCACTAATCCTGGGATACATGGGCCAAGCTGCTTATTTGTCCCAGCACCATAACCTTGACGCAAGCTACCAAATTGGATTCTACATTGCAGTTCCTGGTACGCCACACTACTACATGGTTGGTTTATTCTCACATCACACTACGCTTTCAGAGTTTCAGACATTCACAGGCTTTTGCCTATGTGATGAATGCAGAGAGTGTAAGATGGCCAGTGCTAGTGCTGGCGATCTTGGCGTCGGTGGTCGGCAGCCAGGCCATCATCAGCGGCACGTTCTCCATCATCAGCCAGAGCCAGTCTCTGAGCTGCTTCCCCAGGGTGAAAGTCGTGCACACGTCTGACAAAGTTCATGGCCAGATATACATCCCTGAGGTCAACTGGATCCTCATGGTCCTCTGCATTGCTGTCACTGTTGGTTTCCGTAACACCAAGCACATGGGAAACGCATCTGGTGAGTACAGTATCTTGCTTTCCTGGCACTGATGATCATGTGCAGAAAACTGATCCAACCATATACCTGAACTTTTGCTTCTGAATTGTTGTGCAGGCTTGGCCGTGATCACGGTGATGCTGGTGACGACGTGCCTCATGTCCCTGGTGATCATGCTGTGCTGGGACCGGTCTCCATGGCTGGCCCTCGCCTTCTTCCTCTTCTTCGGCTCCATCGAGGCGCTCTACTTCTCGGCGTCGCTGATCAAGTTCCTGGGAGGCGCGTGGCTGCCGATCCTCCTGGCGCTCATCCTGCTCGCCGTCATGTTCGTGTGGCACCACACGACGATCAAAAAGTACGAGTACGACATGCACAACAAGGTGACCCTGGAGTGGCTACTGGCGCTGGGCGACAAGCTGGGCATGGTGCGCGTCCCGGGCATCGGCCTCGTCTACACCGACCTCACCTCCGGCGTGCCAGCCAACTTCTCCCGCTTCGTGACCAACCTGCCGGCGTTCCATCGGGTGCTGGTCTTCGTCTGCGTTAAGTCCGTGACGGTGCCACACGTGCTCCCCGCCGAGCGCTACCTCGTCGGCCACGTCGGCCCGCCGGGCCACCGCTCCTACCGCTGCATCGTGCGCTACGGCTACCGCGACGTGCACCAGGACGTGGACTCCTTCGAGACGGAGCTCGTCGAGAGCCTCGCCACGTTCATCAAGCTGGACGCGCTGTTCCGCTGCAGCGACGCCGGCGGCGGCGAGCAGCGGGACAGCAACTACTACGAGCGCGAGAACGCGCTGACAGTCATCGGCAGCAACCCGCTGCGGCGCCACATGAGCCTGGGCTACGACGAATCCCACTCCCACGACAACGCGTCGTCTGGCTCTGACAGCGTGGACGGCATAGAACTCGCCGCGGCGCCGGTGGTCGTGAAGAAGCAGGTGAGATTTGCGGTGGCGCCGCCCAGGAGCCCCGGCGTGGACGAGAGCGTGCTGGAGGAGCTGCACGAGCTGTGCGAGGCGCGGGAAGCTGGCACGGCGTTCATCCTGGGGCACTCGCACGTGAAGACCAAGCCCGGGTCGTCGCTGCTCAAGAGGCTGGCAGTCGGCGTCGGCTACAACTTCCTGCGCCGGAACTGCCGCGGCCCGGACGTGGCGCTGCGCGTGCCGCCGGCGTCGCTGCTCGAGGTGGGCATGGTGTACGTGCTGTAACAGAACGTGGCGGGGATGGGTGACTGCGATCTGTGCGTCCGGTTTTCGCTACGTAAACTACGGATCCCTCTGCTTTTGTGCAGTATGCAGATCTCGACTTGCTTATGTAAATTGTAACGAGATGCGATGATATAGAGGATGCCCTGACATTTCCCAGTGATAAGCATTGACTAAGGATTATATATCATTTAAACTTTATATATATATAAATCAAACAATGCAAAATTTTGACTAAATTTTTTTTTGAAAAAAATTGTACCGACAAAATTTTCACAAACTGGGAAAGGATGTCATTAAACATGATACCGTTAGGTCTTAAACTTGGTTTCAGATCTCATTCGCATCTAAACGGGCCTAACCCACTTTCGCATGCTGAAGTGACATATTGATCGTGTAGTGACATGAACTCGACATGTGAGACTCATACGTCAGATACAAAGTAAAATTCATTGACTGGTCTTTGAACTTCGTAACGGGTATCATTATAGTCCCTATAGAACATATAAAATGATATTGGCCCTGAGCCGTACTGTTTCAGCGAATATAGTCCCTATAGAACATATAAAATGATATTGGCCCTGAGCCGTACTGTTTCAGCGAAGGAATAGTGCTTTTCTCTCACAACAAATCAACGAACAGTACTTTCAGTCATGTCTTTTTAGCGAAACAAACAGGGTCATTTTTTGTTTCATGTCTTATCTAGGTCCAAAGGAGGCCTAAAACACCTCACACCTTGTTCGTTTCATCCCGAAACCAAGAGGCTGGAGGGGATTGATGAAGATTTAATCCCCTACAGGTCAAAATCTCTCTCAATCCCCTCAAATCCTCTTCAATCCACTTGGTTTGGGAAGAACTGAACAAGGCCTCATAGGATGACGTGGCATGCTAACTGTCCAATTATCATGTACCTGACATGTGGGTCGTTGCTGCCTCCACGCCCATGGTTGCTGGCGTTGCCTTCCATGTACCCAGTCGCGCCGCCGCTAACGCCTCCCATCTTGTAGATCAAAGCAGCAAACTAAACTTCGAATATATAAACTGATATAAATATGAAAAATTGAATTAAATTAATATTCATAGATCTCATTAATAGCTACAACTTTTGTATAAATTTCATCCCCATTCGACTCTGTATGGGAAAGATAAAATTTATCAAAGGAACATACGTGATTAATATGCCACTGTAATTTTCTATGATTTATTTAACGGTAACGACTCGACGCGCCTCGCCTTTTCCGCAGGCTTGACTCCCTCCCTATCCCATCCCATCCCGTGACCGTGCACCCAGTTCTCTCGCTCTGCTCGCCCTCTCCTCCTCCCTCTCCTCCACTCTCTCTCTGCTGGCACGCAGCGCTCGCGCGCCGTGCCCCTCCCTCCCTCTGCGACCTCCATGCTACCGGAGAGCTGGGCAACGGCAGCGGCTTCCAGCAAGCCGCCCTCCCTCTCTCGCTCCGTGACCTTCATGCCATCGGAGAGGAGGGCGACGGCGGCGGCTTCCGGAGAGGTAGGTGTGTCCTTCTCTGGATCTGAGCCCTTCTCCTCCTCCTCCTCCTCTAGATCTGGATCTGAGGGACACGGCGGTGGCTAGGGTTCCGGCGAGCTCTGTTGCAGTAGGCTTGTTTTGCTGTTGCAACAACTAATATTTATTTGTTGCATTAGTCTTTTTTCTGATGTTGCATCTCGCATTGAGCTTTTGTTTCTGTTGTTACACTAGCGTCGTTTTGCTGTTGCAACAAGTATTTTTTCTTTGTTGCATTAGTCTTTTTTTCTGATGTCGCATGTCACATTGCCCTTTTTGTTTCTATTGTTGTAGTAGTGTTGTTTTGTTGTTGCAACAAGTAATTTTTCTTTGTTGCATTAGTCTTTTTTTATATTGAATCTCGCATTGTGCTTTGTTTTTGTTGTTGCAGTAGTTTTGGTTTTCTGTTGCGTAATTTTTCTTTGTTGCGTTAGTCTTTATTTTTCTGATGTTGCATCTCGTGTTGCAGTAGCTTTGTTGTGTTGTTGCAGTCGCTTTTGTTCTGATGTTGCAGTAGACTTGTTCTGATGTGTTCGCCTTGCATCGTGCTTTGTTTGATGTTGCAAAACAATTTTCTGATGGGAGCACGGTGAGGATGCGACACACCGAGCGTGGGGGAACGGGTGATGCAAGGGGCGAGCGGGTTCCGTTCTATTCCCGCGGGGGGTCGGGCAGTGAAGAGAAGTGAGCGGCTAGGGCGGGGGGTCGGGCGGTGAAAAGAAGTGAGCGGCTAGGGCGGGGGTCGGGTGGTGAAGAGAAATGAGCGGCTGGGGCCGGTGGGTTTGTTTTTTTTAACAAGGACGGGCGGGTTTGGAATGCCTCGCTGCGAAGGGCCCGGCGTCCGGTCGCGTCTCGCGCGCCGGACGTCCGGGCGCTCGCAGCGCCGTTTATTTAAAGATCTTGACATCTTCAAATAAAAAACAACTCAAAACTACAACACATAGATCTTGTCAAGAGCTATAATTCTCTTTACAAATTTTATTACTCCAAAATCGTCCTGAACTTATTCTAAAATACTAGCCCACTAATGTGGGGATTGGACTGGAGTCCGAACTATCCCAAGCATGCCCTCATGTGTTCTCGGCCCACTTAACCCAATATCCCAGCCCATCCCACGAGCGTCCGGGGCTCCCCCTCCCGTCTTCTCCATGACTCCCATCCAGACTCGGATCCTCCGGGGACAGTGCAGTGAACCGCGAGGATTAAACAATGGCTCCGCTCGTTAATCCATTGGCGCTCCCCCTCCCGTGGATCGTCACCGACGAACTGCAAAGCTTTCGTTGTTCGTCGCTCGGTCGGTCAGACAAGCGTGAGAGATGAGAATCGAGAATCCTAGCTAGTACTCTGCTCCACTGTGTCACTGTGCTGTGCGCAGCTGCTTGGTATGGCCTTGTTCCCCATATTCTGATTGGCATGTTCGTCTAGTGGTGGTACGTTTGCATCATTGCTGCAGCCAAAAGAGAAAGGAGCCAATGACTCAACGACACAATTGCGTTGCTTAACAGTTCAGAAAAGTGGCATATATATGTACTATATACGACTTATTATCACATGATTAATTGCCTATTTGCCTTGTCCTACTTGCTTTAGTATCCTAGACTACAACCTGTTCTATGCATTACAGGTTCGAAACCACAATACTGCATCAGTGATTTTGTCAAGATTTAGGAGCAGAACACGAACATAGTGCTTCTGCCTACATATATGAGCGTTGTGGGGCTCCAAAATTTCAGAACAGATTCCATCTCTAAATGAACTTAGCATACTTTTATGCTATGTGTATGATATGAAAATGTCATGTCTATAATTGTCAGCATCAATGCTCCTGTATGACATACTATGTATGCTTCAACACCTACTATAACTAATATCTTATATTACTTCCATTGCTCTTATTAGTGGACAACCCTATCAAAAATCCACATGTTTCTATGAATTTTTGCCGTCCATATACCACGCGCCCTTGCGCGCGCAACGTACTAGTGGACAACCAGACGACAAGCTAGCATGCAAGGCCAGACCACGAACAAAAAAAAAAGCCACCAGGCCACCGGATCATACAGGCACGCACCGTCGCGGAGATGCGCCCTAATTTTTGTATTACCCGTTCGCGTTCGGAGAATTGATCTTCTTCCCTCCTTATTACCTGGAGCGGCTTGAGCAACACGTCGTTGATCGCATCCGTCAGCGGCGACGAGTAGCCGTCCCTGTCCATGTAGAACAGGTGGAGCACCTTGGACATGTTCCAGAACAGCTGCCTTGCAGGGCGGGGTACCGCTGCCCCCTCTCTGAGCACCGGTCTCAGCAGCTTCCTCCTGGAGGCCTCAATGATGCTCTTCACCTCCTTCTTGGCGGCCTCGATGGAGCCGCCGTAGGACGGATCAGCTAGCAGCAGGACGCTGTTGATCTTCCCTTGCTTCTTCTCCCTCTGGTACGTCTGGAGGTCGTTGAGGCGGCGTTCCGACAAGTTGACGAGGCTGAGCATCTCTTCGTACTCGGAGGCACCTCACCACGTCCTCCGGGAGCTCTGGCCCGACGATGTAGGCGGCCACGGGGACGATCGGGCCAATCGCGAACGACACCTCCCCGATCGGCAGGTACTCCTCCACGGACGGCACGCGGCCGCTCACCCTCCACTCCGCCTCGGACATCATGGCCCTCACAATGTCCACCCACTGCGTGCATGCGCGAGAGCATCATTCTTCTGTCATCATCTGTCGGTCACCGGGGCACCGACGGAGATAGGACTTACGAGCTCGGCAATGTGGTCCATGACGCCGCGGTTCTGCACCTTGCCCACGAGATGCTTGCACGTGTCGTAAACAGCGCGGAAAACAATCTCCACGCGCTCTGAGTAGAAGCCAGCTTCTTGGTGCGCGTCCCACCTGTCAGCCACATCATCGACCAGAAGGCAACGGTGGATCAGTCGAAATGTGGAACGCACTGCAGTCTGCAGCGCAGCTATGTTAGTCTGGTCAATGGTTCTATTTCTCGAGTTGCTGCATGCATACAGGTCGAACAGCGTGGCGAGATTCTGCAGCTCCTCCATTGACTCCCGGTGTCGAACAGGTCGTCGACAATGGTGGTCAGCACGGAACTCATGCTCCACGCAATGCGAGCCTCCGATAGTTGGGCGGGGAACATGGTGGCAGCTGCCGAGAAAAGGATGGGCAGAGGCCGTACTCTTGCGAACTCCAGCTCCGGCAGCCTCACCTCCTTCACCCACCTATATATATGCATCAGGCATTCAAGAGATCGCGAGGGGAAAAAAAACCCAAAATATACACAAGGCGATTTTTCTAATAAGTTTGTGTTATGCACGGACCTGTTGCGCTGCTCAATCTCTTGTTGGTACACACAGCCTGGGAGGAATGGAATCCATTGGTAGCCAGCGTCACAATTTCCTCATCTGCGTGAGAAACGCTGATCCGACGGAGTCGGTCGGTTCAAAATTGTAACCAAAATGTATGTATGTAACGGA